TGCTGAAAAGGAGGTTGAATTTTAGTTCACTCTTCTCTGTGAACTCTAAATATCAGTCAATGTAGTATACAGGTAGCCTACTAAACATTTTAATTATTTTACACTTGAAAAGTTCAGAATAAAGGGTACCTGCTAATAGTTACTGATTACATAATCAACAGAAAATGGTTTCAAAAGATCACAAAGTAATGACCAAATAATATTTACCACAGTTTTTCAACTAACACATTCCTATCAAATTCCAAATGCTATATTATATTATACTGTACTGCTCTGAATGAGTGTGTTTAACATTATTCCAAAGGGATAAAATGATATAAAAATCTTTCTTAAGTTTTGGAGTCCCAAATATTTTCAATACTTGCACATCTGTCTTTAATACCAAAACAGCAATATAATAACTAATCAGAAGATATTTTATAGAATGTATTTAAATTCTGGCTCTGCTATGTAGTGGCTCATATAAATGGTACAAATTATTTTCTTCAGGCTTAATGTCTCCAGTTATAAAGTGAAGATATGCTTAGCTAGCAGCTGAGCACCACACGAGTGGCATGGATCAAAGTGCCTCATTCTACAACACAGCAGGTGCTGAGGAGACTCTGCTAAGTGACAGACATAAGAAATAAGATTCCTGTTCTCTCAGAGGATAAGCTGGCAAAGCTAACTGAGGAGAAAGAGGAGAAAAATGAGACAAGCCATGGTATCAAGAAAGCCTAGAAAATGAAGTGTTTCAAGAAAGATGAAATATCAAAAATATACAGAGAGGACCAACTGGAAAAGAGTATGAAGGAAACTTTTGGAAATGTTTATATCCTGATTGAAGTGGTGATTTCACAGTGGTTTACATTTGGCAACACTCATTAAATTGTATGTGTAAAAATGGTAACTTTTATTGTAAATAAGTGGTAAGTCTAATTTTTAAAAATGTAAATGTCATGAAAGACAACAAAGAAGGTAGGGGAATTGTTCCAGAGTAAAGGAAACCAAAAAGGTATAGGACAGCTGACTGTACTGTATAATCTTTGTATCCTGAATAATAAAAAAAAGAGCTATAAAGAACATTTTGGGGGCAAATATAGATTATATATCAAGCTGTAGTGTACCCATGTAAAACTGGTTTGAAACTTCATAGTGCAGTCGTTTCATTGTGGCTATGTAAGAGAATGCCCTTTTTGTAGGAAATATATTCTTATATATTCAGGGGTAAAGTGTCAGGATGTCTGCAAGTTAGTCTCAAATGGTTTTTAAAAAGTGAATGTGGATAGAGATAAAACAGCTGTAGGAAAATGTTAGCAATTGGTGATACTGTGCTTGTCTTTTAATTTTTCTATAAATTTACAGTTTTGGAAAACAATAACTAGGGGACAAAGAGGCACCAGCCAGGTGTACAAATGCTATTGAGAGGTCAGATAAGATGGGAATGGAGGGGCTGGGATATAGCTCAGCAGCACCGTGCCTGCCTGGCAAGCACAAGGTCCTGAGTTTGATTCGTGGTACCAAAAAAAAAAAAAGATGGGAATGGAAATATGATCTTTGACTTTGGCAAGCTCCTGGTCATGATGACTCTTGCAAGAACATTTCAGTGGAGTGAAGGGGTAAGATCTTGGTAAAAGAAAACATAGGCAAGATGGAAAATAAAGAAGTAGAATGGGTGAATACATGTAATCCTTTCAAAACTTTTGCTGTGAAGGGCAGCAGAGAAATAGGATATAGAGCAAGGAGTTTCCCTTTACCAACAGTAATAGTAAGACATTTTGTATGCTGATAGGAATGATGCAGAAGAGAAGAAATTGATCATGTGGCCAAAAGAAGGAATAAACAAATGCAGGAGAAAAGTCTTTAAAACTTCAAGAATGTGTTAGCAAGTGAATAGTAGGGGCTCGAAAGGAAGAAGTCACCTTAGAGGATAGTGATAATGACAACAACAACAATGGTGGTAACACAGCAGCTAACTTGAAAATAGGTAAAGCTCTTTTACTATTTAAAGCTCTTTTACTCATTTAATTTTCATAGCAGCCCCAAGGGGAAGGTATTACTAATATTTCCTTTTATAGATGAAGAAACTTAGGTTCCTTCATCTATAAAACTTAATTTTATAGATCAAGTTAATTTACTTGTCCAGTGATACATAGCTGGTAAGCAGTAAAGCCAGGATTTAGAACCCAAAAGAAGCACCTTTTCTTTCAGGGCAAAAAGAGGGAAGGCAGTGTGTGAGGGTGTAAATGCAGCTGGGCCAGTGGTAGTGGAAACATGACGTGGCTCTTCTGTCGTTACATCTATTTTCTTAATTAGCTTCCAGTGAGTTCATCAGTTGAGATGATGGGGAGAAAGGATGTTAGAGATTTTAGAAAAGCAGGTGAGAAATTTTTGCTTCAGAGAGAAGGAAAGTAAATTTATTAACAAAGACCAGCAGAATTGAATTTGAAGTGAATCTACTTATCCTGACTGAATATTTCCTAGCTATTTTCAGCTGCTGAGAGCAGGCACAAAAAGAATGTTTGGGTTTAACTAGGCTGGATTTTTTTTCCAGGCGAATGAGAGCTAAAAAAATAAACGGAATCAAGGAGTAAGGGGAGTTTGCTACAGTGATGATACTAGGGAACCATGGGATCAAGCCTGGGTAAGGAGGAGCACATGAGCATTCAGAATGTGAAAAGCTGGTCGGGTCAAAGGACTGGAGATTTGTAAACGGAAAAAAATAGGTAGAATGTGATTTTAAGTAAGGGACTAACAGGGAGTAGGACATCTGAGGAGTAGATTTCAAAGGAAGTGCCATTATTGAGGGTGATAAAGTATAGGTTATAACAATGTAGATGGAAGGATGCGGTGGCAGAAAATAAGACTGGATCAAAAACTGCTCGAACACTGGCTGAGTCCTCTGTGTGATGGCAAAGTTATGCAAAGAGCTGGTAGAAGCAGCACTAGACAGTTGCTGGCGACAGTGGGAGAGGACCGCAACAAAGAAGGGTTAGAGAAGCAAAGTTTGACACACGCTGGGGAGACAGGAGAAAGAGGAGAGGGATTTGGAAGCTATGGTGGGTAGTAAGGCTGCTGCTCACCTCCCTGCAAGCTTTGAGCTACATGAGGAAGGAAGAAAAATGAGGCTCTAATCTGAAAAGTGTCTTCAGAGTAAGTGGGTAAAGGGACTGTTCAAAGAAGATGAGGATGTGGCATAGTACTCAACACATAGCATGTTCTCAGTCTTTCTTGAATTTAAATCTTAATTTTTCTAATTGTATTACATATCTTAAAAATAAATTTTTAAAAATTTATGAAGAATCTGGAACAGATTAAAAAGAAATAAATATCCTCTAATGATTGTATTTTCCAAATCCATGAAAGACTCATCTTCAAAAATTAGTCCCCTGGCCAACATAAATAGAGTCAAACAGCATCTTATTGTTTTTGGCTTAATATAACTAGCCAAGTCACTATTATGAAATAAATGCAGGCATTCTCTTGCCTAAGAACCTAGTATCAGAGGAACAAAATTAAGTGAACTCTACCTTGATGAAGCTTAGAAAATAATCTGAGCATGAAATGACCAAAGTTAATTTATTATAGTTCAAGCAGAGAAACCTAAATGCCTATGGAATGAGAATAAATGAGATATCTTAATGATATTCTTTGGAATATAGCGCAATACATTTTGGAATATACTGTCCTCCTTCAGGTGGCAGTATGATAATTCCATGAATAACTTTACTGAAAAAGAGATGTTCTTTCCAGTGTCAGGGTTCTTTTTCTCTTAAATTTGTTCTGAACATCTTTGTAAGACTAAGTAAATGCCATCATTTTAATGCCTTAACAAAAAGATTTATGTTTTATATCCGTAAATTGTCTCAAGTATTTCTGCTAAGCTATCTGTATTGAGCTCTATGAAGGACTATAAAATTCTATAGTCCTTTGTAGTCTTAAATATATAATGGAAAATTCTGTTCCCTAAAGACTGAATTTTACTGTAATTTACCTAGAATCTCTCCCAAAATCCAGTGCTTCAATTTGTATTTATTTGTACTCATATTTTTGTTGAATGGTTTAATTACTATCATCAATCAAAATGTGGACTAGTTCAACTGCAGATTAGTTCAAAGGGCTTTTCACTTAAGTTTCCACGTAGACTATGAGGTATTTAATACTAAACAGAAAATTACCAGTAGTTCTATAATGCCAGATAAACTGACCTCAGAAAGGTCAATGCTATTATTTCAATAAGCCCAATGTGTCATGTCAGAGAAAGCAATCTGTCAATAATATATACTGTGCTCATTTATTACACACAGCTGGGAGAAAGTTATTTCTTGGCTCCATGAAAAACCCAGATGGAAGTAATCTCTTCTTAACTAATTTCTTTTTTAGTACTTTGTATATTACTTGTGGGAATTTCTCTTTGGAGAACAGTGATTTCTGTGCTTGTCTTATTTTTTCCTTCTAGACTCTAGGCATGTACACTATATCCTAACACCTTCATTCAGATAGCCTCAACGTTATCAGAGTATTACTTGTATTTTGTTCAATATCCAGTACTAGTAGTAAAATAAAATGTAATAGTGATACTATTAATATCAGTCTCATCAATATTATGGGTTACACATAAATAGGCTTCTGTGGCTTGATCTAGCATCATATCAATATTGGGTAACATAAGATACTACTTTGAATTGTAAAATCCTAATTTACAAAGTCATTGTCAGAACATAGGAGGGACTTCTAATACGGTAGAACTAGAAAAGTCCCTGACAGGAAGTCTACAGAACAATCAAATAACAGCTTTCCCAATCCCACAATAAAAGAGAATCAATTTTCCTTTAAAGATATAGTAATCTTTAAAAAAGAATAAAATTGTAACATAATATTATGTAGAAACAGTGGTAAAATATTTCAAAAATAATCCATGAACACATACTTAGCCAACTGAACATTTTAAATGTCTTTCACTTAATCCAGAAAATCTTGGTTAAGCAAAGGATAGTTCATAAACCAAAATATCAACTTACCATTTATGTTAATTGCTGGTAACACAATTGACATTTTTGGTCTTGTGGTCTTGTTATGGGTAGTAGCTGGTAACAGCAGGTGATCCTAAAGTTAACAAAGAACAATGTGTTATTTATTGCAACTGGCTTGCTTAGAACAGGCCAAATTTAGGGTTTCTAAGAGGCCAATATTTCATTTGAATCATGAAAAAATGTCAATTTTTATTTGAAATTGGCTTAGAGGTAAGTAGTTACAAATCATTAAGGTCATTTATTTGTTAATACTATACACATTCACTGGGTATCTAGTATTGTCAGGCACTAAGCCATATTCTTGGAATACTCATGCGCTCTGATATATGCTGCAATATAACATAAAGAGTTTTGGTCAAGCAGGCAGGACAAGGGGGTTTAGTTTAATTCTGCAACTAAATAGCTATACGGTCTGGACAAGACTACATATCCTCTCTGCCTACTAACTTTCAGTCCTGTAAAATGGTAGGGGAAGACTAGATAATATAATAAGATACTGAACTATCTACTCACTAAACTCTCATTTTCAAGCTTTTTTTTTAAGGAGGAAAACCTTTTTTTTCTCCAAAATTTTTATCCCAAATCATCGATTTATAAAAGAGATGCTGATTAAAGCAGTGTCTGAGCCTAGGGTCTTGCCTGGCTCGTCTGTTTCCTCTGAAGTAGCCACAGCATTAGACATTTATTTGTGACAGTACATGCTAAAGAAGATGTATACAGGCTTAGGCTTAAAAACTTTAGTAGAAGAGTTTAAGAAATTATAAATGTATGCATAGCACAACTACATATTTTTAAATATAACCTACCAAACTTTTGATGATCTATAAGTAAATCAAAATATCTCAGGTTTCTGGTCTCTAGTCACATAATTACTCAAAGTAAGAATAAGCCAAGTGAAGTTTGGCCTCAGAAAAGGGGGGAATTTATGAATATTTTGGAAAATGTACGTATGTCTGTAACTGTAAAATAACTTTGATATTAACTAATATTTTCAATAACTCTTCTTCCTCTTAAGAAAAACATAAGAATTGTCATCAAAAAAGATATGCTAGCATTTGCATTTAAGAAAAAATAACATGAAATAAAACTGAAGTTTAAGCCATTTTGTTTTGTTTTCTTGTTCTTATATTCATTGTTTCATTATTCATTCAACAAATTTACTACATGGCAGAACTCAAAATGTAAGACTTGAACCAGGTGTGGTAATGCATGCTTGTAATCCCAACACTCTGGGAGGCTGAGGCAGAAAGATCACAAATTTGAACCCAGCCTGGGCAACTTAGTGAGACTTTGTCTCAAAATTTAAAGGGAGTGGGGAGCTGGGGATATAGCTTAGTAGGAATGCCCTAGGTTCAAACCCCAGTACTGGAAAGAAAAGTGGTAGGATTCAATATAACTGTGAGTCACAAAAATGCAATGCTATTTAGTTCAAAAGCAATGTGACTATGAAATGCAGTATCAGCAAAACTAAGGGGAAAAAAAAACTTAGACTGTGGAAAACAGCTTGAAAATGATGTACATGAACAAAACTGTGTAGAAAACATTTCCAGTAACTGTTTGTGTTTTCTATATTTCAAGGCAACATTTCTATGAGAACACTTCAGGAAAGTAGAAGGGAGGGCAACAGTGAGTCCATTAGAATTCCAGAATTACAATTCCAGAATTGCAGCACAGAAGGTTGGTTTTGTCTTGTCTTGTTTTTTAAGTGCATTGTTAGACACAAACATCACACATTTCTGAGTATAAGATAACACATTATAATCAAGAAAAAACCTCACAATTTGTTGATCTTCTTGCTATGAAAGTTATAAATAGCTTAGTTCCTATAATTAAAATAGGGCTTCAGGGTCTCTAAATTGAATGAGAAAACAAACCCAAAAACTTGCAAGCTGCAAATTAAGGTTACTATGAAAATAAACACACTTAGATTCCATTGGTCATGGGTTAAGGTCAGGCTCAGACTTAAATCTGAATTTCTTACTAAGATTTAGATGCGGTATACTAATGCTGTTTTTAAACATGATTTGTAGAACACAATGTCTCCTGCCACCTTTGTAAGTTTCAAATAAAGTACTTACTTTTGTAGGAAAAAGCCAATAACTATGCTATTATTTATGAAAAATAGGAATCACATATTGTATATATGCAAATCATTTACAGTTAACCTGCCTTGTCACTCATCACGAAATGTTTACAGACTGGGGAACAGCTGACATTTATGTATGTATGTACTGATTGATTGACTGATTGGTGGTGCTGGGGATTGAAACCAAGTCCTCACACATGATACAGTCTATAATTTGAAGTGCTTGTTAATTAGAAAGACCGAAGACCAAAAATGCTGGGGTCCAAAGCTGGTACATTACAAATTCTAATAATATTAAAAAATAATTATACACAGAGAGAGCTAGGACAAAGCAGTTGTTTTATTTAATGTTTATTTTCATTTCCTCAAACTAAATACTCCTTGGACTTCACCACAATGAACCGTTGAGTTGAAACTTGAAGAACTTTTCTGTGTTCTTCTCACTCTCTTTTAGAACATTAATACTATTAGTCACAACTGTGGAGACAAAGGAGCTTTAGTTAATGAGTCTACAAATACTTACTGACTTCTTACCATTCATCAAAACATTTACTAAGTATGGTACACTGCCATGTACTCAGCCCGGTGCTACCGCGGATGCTTTCTTTTAAAGCATATAAATCTAGGTTTTTATGTTTTATTTTTATTGGGAAAACAGTGTACATTGTGGCAGAAATACCCTCTTGTCTCTAGTACATGTTCCCCTTCTAGATAGAGACCTGTGATAGTCGAGCATGAAGCCGTCGAGCATAAAAATTACTCTACAGCCTCCATGCAACCAGGTAAGGTCACAAATTCTAGTCAACAGGGTGTAAGAGAAAGTTGTGCCTGCAATTTCTTCAAGATGATCATGGTAGAAAGGCTACCCTCTCCTTCCTAGTAGATACAACGGTGTGACTCTTAAGCTTAAGTGTCAACTTGACTGATTAAGGGACTCCTGAAAAAGTGAGTGGACCATGGGGCACTGTTCTCATCAGTGAATTAATCCACCATTGTGTATAGATGAATGTGCAGTTAGGAAGTGGGGCCCAATCAGGAGCATCACTGGGGGTGTGCCTTTGGAGAGCTGTGGTTTTCCCCTGTGCTCTGCTTCTCATCTGCCATTAACTCAGCAGCTTTGCTCTGCCATACCCTTCCATCATGTTTCTGCCTCGGAGCCAGGCAACCATGAGCTGAAACCATACACCAAATAAACATCTCTTTTTTAAAATTGCAAGTATCAGGTATTTTGTCCAGCAATGGGAAACCTGACTAACACAGAAAATTTGGTAGTAAAGTGGGGTTATTGCAGTGACAATCCCTGACTGTACCTGGTGTTTGGTATAATTTGAATACCAAAACACTGCACTGCGAGAATAAGAAGCCTCTGCAACTGGTTTCTGGGAAGAGTTTGGAAAGGTTTGAAGATGAAGGCTAGGAAGCCCTAGATTTCCATAAGCTGAGCTTGATGGGCAATTTTGGTTGGAACTCAGAAGGCCAGAATGATTAAAAAGATGGACACTAAAGGTGAGGGCATGAGGTTTTAGATGGGACAGTAGCTAGCTCTATTGGGAACTGGACTAGAGGCCATGCATGTTACACTATGGAAAAAAAAATTGTCCACATTTGCCCATGTCCTGAGACTTCATGGGAGGGTGAGTTTAAGGGCAGTGGACTAATTGCTCTAGTAGGGGGAACTAGAGGCAACCCATCATTCAAGCTATGGGCTAGGTACTGTTGGCTGCTTTTAGCCAGATGTATAGTAAAAACAAAGCAAAAAATAGAGAAGATATTGAAAAATTTGGGCTCAAAAAAAAGTATAAAACTGAGGCCAGTGTGGTTATTGAAGAGATTTGCACTATTAAAAAGAAAGTTAAGTACAGTAAAATCTTAGATTGCAAGTAACTTGTTCTACAAGTGTTCCTCAAGACGAGAAAACATTCCTAACAAATTTTAACTGATAAACAAGCAATGTTTCACAATATGAGTGGTACATGATGCCAAATGTCACATAATCACAACTGAGCTAACAGTCCCTTTTCTCTCTCCCTCTGTGCAGGATTCTGGGTGATCATCTCCCAACTATAAGAGGTTATGGAGGAGATCTCATCTACAGCAGAAGAGGAGAAAAAGTGGAGGTATCCCTCACTTCAAATGAGATTAGAGAGATACATAAAATGTGGGAAAGAGTGCAAAATTGTATAGAAAAGCCACCACCCAAATAAGGCTATAGCAGTACAAGCAATGAATCTATTTAATGACAATACAATGTCATCTTTTGAAGAAGTCCTCAAAAGGAGGTAAAAGCAAGTGTTACTAGAGAGGTTCCTTGTTAAAGTTTCACAGAAAAAAAAAGATTCCACTGAGCCAAAAGGTAGCAGTGATTCTGCTAGTGATAGTAAGAGTTGTCCTACATAGTAACCATCCTCTCTCGTCTTCCTCACACCAGCCATGAAGTTTTTTAAAGGTTAGTACAGGTTAATTTGATTATTTTTCCTTATAATTTGTATTGCCTTTATTATTTTACATTCTATTACTTATATTAGTATTGTAATCATTTTTATATGAATGGTTTTGGTTGCAGAACAAAACAGTTGTTTCCATTATTTCTTATGGCAAAATTCACTTTCATATATGAATGTTTTGGATTACAAGTATGTTTCCAGAATGAGTTATGCTACTAAACCAAGGCTTTACTGTACTTTGAACTGAGAGAAGAAAGATGCCTTGATGGCATCTCAGGATTCAGTAAGACCCCATCTATTGCAGGGTCAGAGGCCCAAAAGTATAAAACTTTTATTTGAGAAAGGAGCCCCTGGGCCCCATACTCAAGAAGGGTCACCTATGGAATTGATTCCCCAGGATGAATTTTACCATGCTCAGCTATTTAGGCCCTCAAAGACTGCTACAGCCATGGTCCACAGGGGCCTGGCTATTGCTCTTGCTGACAGCAGACCTCGCTATTATCTAAGTGATGCTGGTTTTTTTAGGCATACAGAACACTGAGT